ATTTGATGATTGAGGCTGGATCAGTGCTTCAGGCGGCCTCCACAGGTTTTTATGGATAAAAGCGCGGAAATCAATGGAAAGGTCTATCAAGAAGGGATCCTTGAGAAAGCTGTTGCCCCCTGGAAGTAGAATCATAACATTCTGTCTTTTTACAGGAATGCGCTCGGGCCATGGACCAATACACCGACCACTTCTTCGAGACCAGTATCGGCTGTTTTGTGGCGATGGATTCGTGGTCTGCTTACAGTCCGAATTCAGATCCATTAGACTTCTTTTGGGATTTTATTGAAGAACCACTAAGAATCGAAATGCAAAAAGTTTGGTGATTCTGAAAAGAACTGCCCAAAATTTGGAATGAAATATGCATAGAACACTTCCGCCGCACCATCTACTCGCTGAAGAAACAAATTGAGGTTTGATGTTTTACAAAATTAGTTGCTTCCAGATTTTTGTGAAAAAAAAAGGTCAGGACGTGCTTTATGGCGCACGTAGTTTTCCGCCACCCTTATCATGTAATACTCATCCTTTTTGCACAGGAAGTCTATGAAATCCTTCATTGTTCGATTTGTTATTCTCCTCTCGAGAGCTAGGGTCGGGCTCAACCTCACAGAAGAAGTCCTTGTTGACAAAAGTGCCAGGCCTACCACTGCGGTGGTCGCGCCATATTCGCGCTTTCAAACGTTTCACCATGTTGCTTGGCGTTCAAGGTTGAACCCTCCTATGTCTATAGGGATTCCTGCTCGCCCACCGCTTTGATAACTGTGTTGTAATGTTGATCTACAATGTTGTCTCGACTTGGAAGCGAAAACGGATCCTTTCCCTTCCTGACCCACATTATCTATTATCTCGCGATCTGCTTCTTGGACCTCCCCGCTGTTAAGCAAAAGCTATGTAGGTATTCTCTGTGTTTCGACGTACCTTCCTTTGGTCTCCACTTTCGATCTACTTCGCACAACACTTTCATATTTGAATGGAGTGACCCCATCAATTTGATGCTGATTCTCGCCTCTAAGGTAGATGATCGTACACAATTTAATGCAAAGCACACAACAGGCCACAGCTTCCTTTTGACTATTTCATTGAAGTGTCTTTCAATCGTACTTCTCGTGAATATAAGACTAGACCACAAACCATCGGATTGGGACTCGTTCAGTTGATGGCAGTTTAATTCGGCTTCCATGAGCTGCCAATCCAAAATCGGAAAGTTTGATCATCCGTCCATCAGTTGTAACAAGGCAATTACGAGCTGCTACATCTCTGAAATTTCCTTTGTTAAATTCAAAACTCAAACTGAAGGCATGAATATAATTAGGAATCCATTTATAAGGCCTTCTCAGCTCAGCTTGCAACCAAGTCAAGATTTTGTGGAGCAGCGATGCCCGTCATTGTTCCTTCAACGAATCTGAGAGGAACTGGCTAAATGGCTAGAATATCAAACAATGCAAAATGGTCGGGTCACCGCACTGAATAGGCCAACTATCAGTTATTAATTACATAAAGTTTTCCTCATCTCTCCTTACCTACGATTCCAATTCTACTTCTAACTAGTGCTGAAACGGATGCGATCCAAGTTCGTTGTTACTCACCGATGCATGCAGTTTTTTGAGTGCAGATATGCGAGGCCAGGCAGCAATGTCGTAGCAGAAGCTTGCTTTTATCAATGGCATTAGCTGTAATAGCTACATTTCTTGATTACTTGAACAGCTGGATGCGAGAATTTTTACAAAGTGGGTTCTTGTTTGTTTGACTTCTTTTCACCTTTTAGGTTGAAACGCGGGTTTCTCATTTTCAATGCCTTTGACTGTTTCTTCCGCAGGACCTATTGACCGGTGCAACCTTCCTCCCTCTCTGGTTTATTTGTGTTTTCAATGACGAGCTACTATTTGTAACACCGCTTTTAAAGCGGTACAGCAGCATAGCATCCGAACCCCTCAAACCGAACATGTAGCTTCGATGCTTTCTTGAATGGCTCTGACTACATTTTTGGCTGATTGTCGCCGCTGTTACCTCATAGCACTACGGAAGGAACGATGCACGATAATTTTGTGGTGACTTCTCGAATGATTGGTTACGCTTGCGCAAGTGGAATAAAGGAGCGTGAGGAGATGGGAATTTGTGATAAATCGTTCTATGAACGTGTACGTGTTAAATCGATTCACAGTGACAGATGTTTACGGCGATTTTCAACAGTTCTACGACAGCCTACTTATTCTTGTACCTTTCTCTGTTTTAAGTACGTGTTCAAACCTCCACCGCTGACCAGTTCCATAACCACCATTACATCGTCTTCACTGTAAACCATACCATGGAGCTTAACCACATTCCTGGAATGCAGGTATAGTTTACAATAAACTTTTTTTGCTCATATTGTTGCAGTTTTTGCCCGTGAATTCTTGCCGCAGGGTTTGATTGTGTGAGACAAGAGCATTTGATCCTCTGAGACGGAAACGCTACACTCCACAATTAGAGTGTGCAGACTGGTGTATGCTCAGCATCTTAATGGATTGCTTTACTCAGGGACGACGGTGCATCTATTCTATGGCCTTGATTGTATCTGAACACATGGCTATTAATAAGAACAAGGTGCGCGACAACGTTATCCTAATGAATTTTAAAAGCCCACTATTTTAGTTACAAGAAAAGATACGATCATCTTCACAAGAAGACCATGTACCGACTGGCTACACTTGGTGTAACACAGATTGAGCGTTTTTTCGAGCAATCCTTACACTAGCCGTGCTCACTCCTTGTGACAATTTTTCACATTTATTTCGTTTTCACATCCACTTGCGCGGATATAGTGCATTGTGCAATCATTGATTCCTAATAACAAAATATTCCAATAAATTAAAAATTATTACCAATACTTTGGAAAAAGTTTCAGGACGATTTGCTCAACTTCTAGGTTACAGAACATCCTAGTCACTTGAGATATAACCTGAAATCCCGTCTCCATAATTGTATTGGCTCATCATTTCTCTCACTGTGTGTTGAATTCTTTTTTACATTTGTCTTACGCAACGTAACAAATAAACATTAACATAATCCGAGATGCAAAAGTTCCACAGATACGAGAAGTGAAGTAGTAAGCTCGATTTCGTCACCAAACAAATGAACGAATCGCCAACCTATGATCGTACATTCGCATTAATCGTGCCTCTTGATGGAACATTTCGAGTTGGTGCTGTGTATTGGTGTTGACTTTCATCTGAAAGATGCGTTTCTTATTCATTCATGAAATTTCTTCACTTCTTTCTGAAGTTATCTGGTGACGTTTGAGTGCGGAAAGCTTATTACTGTAAGGTACACACAGTTTGACGGGACGTGTCAAATGCTATTCTTATATTATTATCGCTTATGGTCGTCATCAGCGGCAGTGCGATCTGTATTTACCTTATAGAATTTCGAGGCATTTATAAGCGCGCAAATTTTTAATTGTTAGGAGTCCTTTCTCTCTAGTCTTTCTTCTTGAGCGTTACTGATTGATTTCGACGTGTTTTATACATAAAATTAATTAGTTATCCAAGTTTGAGACTTCGAGTGGAGGGGCTCCGAACCTCACTTGATGGTCCCAGAACGGTATAGACTCGCTCGCTGCTACAAATAACAGTTTCCATACTTTTACAACTTTCACACGGCAAACAAGGCATAGCTTTGACAGATGGTTCGCTCTTTGGTTTTCATCTTCAAGTGTCGCCTCTCCACAACTTTCTCGAACTGTCCTTCACAATTTTCGCATATCCATTCGAGTGATATTTGTCTTTATCCATTTTCCAATGCTTTTGTAGTGTAATGCATCAATTCAAGTGAATCTGCACTGTTTTATCCAACTGGACACTAGGTTTATTCAAAATTCAGAATGTCATGCGAGTGTAGTAGTTGAAAATTCAGAATGTTTCATCAAAAGTTGAATTGCACTTATTCTAGCCGGACTTGCCGCTAGCTGCCAATTGAAATCACATCTACCGACTGCATGGAATTCTGCCGCTCCCTCAGCATTTTTGCCGAAAGTAACCTGCCTGCCAATCTTTTCATCCTTACGATAAACGGAATGTGCTTAGCATACGAAGCGCGAGACCGCAGCAAAAATGATCACGTCGTTCTGCGGGTGCTATCTAGCAGTTGCTATCTGCTGACCCTCATTTCGAGGACACTCAGTTACTTTCAAAGAAGTCATTGGGCCTTACCGGCCATGAGATCGCTAGATCAGATCCTAATTAAGGAGAGGTCTGCTAGCGATCAAAGAAGAATAGGCTACTACATATATCATGTCGATATTTATTCTAGACTGGTTTGATTTCTGACAAATTGTTGTAGTGTACCTACGAGTGCATAGTAATAAATAAATAACTAAATAAGGCTGCAAACCCTAGCTCAACTAGAAGTGGTCAGTCAATTCCTAGTGGGTAATGAGTACTGCTGAGTGAGTGAGTGAATACTGCTTAGTGTTCCTAGTGTTCGCATGGGCATGGTCATTCGGCACAACAACACGCATAGTCGGGTAGAACGCGAAGCAGATCTTAAGTCGAAACATTGTGGGGTCGTTAGCTTCCGCGTCAAAATTAAAGACAAGCCCTGGGATACCACTGGTGTACAAGAGCGCATCATAGTGATGGATGAGCTGCGCAATGAACTGAAAGTGGAAAGGAAAGCAAGGGAAGCCATTGGAACGCTAAAATTAAGGCTCAAACCCCAGTAAGGTTGGATGTGGTACGACGGCGAGACAAAGCGATTGGAGAAACAGAATCTACGAGAGAGCACCCGTTCAGGGGAGCGCAGATCCCCACATTAAACGCGTGGGTGGGAAGCGTTGCAATGGGGGCGATGGTTGCAGCCACTTAACGATTAGCGCCCTAACCGCGCATTTTGTGCGACGAAGTGGCACGTTTTCTGTAGGTACGGACACTACAATTTCCCTCGCGGTATCCTTTCCTACTACTGAGGATAATCCCGGGGGTCGCCTTTGAGTATACGGCCATGCAGCGACTTGATGACTCGGGTCAACCCTTACGTTGGGCCGATATTGGAGCGACGTTGGACCGATGTTGACCGCTCTCCGCGCCGGCATTCACTCTCGCCACCCGCG